TCGCTCTGTCCTACTATATGGATGCAAAACATGGCCGGTGAGAGTAGAAAATATTCGTAAGTTACTAGTCTTCTACCATAGGTATCTTAGAAGCATTGCTCGTCTATCCTGGGCCGACCGAGTATGCAATGCTATTGTTAGGGAACGGGTTCTAAGTAGGGTTGGCAAATCAATAGATGAAGCATTGAAACTTCATCAGTTGAGGTGGTTGGGACATGTGTTACGTATGCCTAACCACCGACTGCCTCGACGAGCTATGTTATGGGGTGTAGGATAAGGTTGGAAGAAAGTTAGGGGCGGCCAGACCAAAACATGGCACAAATCCATGAAGTCACTGACCAGTGGACTGAGTCATGTTGGTAGATGTAGGCCTTCTAGTTGGGTTCCGCGAGACGAAAGTCACCATTGATTGGAGACCTTGAACGCCATGGCTCAGAATCGTTTGGAATGGCACAGGTGTATCCACTCTGTGTGCTTTTTGATTCTAACCTTCCTAATTCCTCATAATCTCTTTCCCCTAAATTTATCTCACTGAATCATACTTTTCGAATCATATCTTCGCTCTCTAATCTGCTGCTAGTAATTCTACTATCACTATCGCTCGTGGATTGGAACTGACAGTTGCGTCTATGTGCTGATGTGGTACGGCAATCTGAACTGATGTACTTATGTACGAAGTTCTGCGTTATATCTGTCTGTCAATCACAACGCAGAACTTAGTATGTATATGCATCACTTCAAGTTTCCATGCCACACTAGCACAGAGATGGAATTTTCAGTTCAAATCCCATAGTGGTAGCAGTAATGCAGAAGATTAGGGTTCGAAGATATAGTTCGAGATTAGAAAGCAAAAGATAGAGATGATGAGGAATTCAGAAGGTTAGAATTTGAGAGAACACTAAGAGTGGATACACCTGCTCCATCGCAAACGATTTTGAGCGACATGGCTCAAAATACTGTTGCTATCACTAGGTTGTATCTTATGATTTCTGCAGCAACTCGGATGATTCTGCCGGTCTCCCACTTTGTACGAAGATTCGATTGTTGTGAGAAGGGTCATCAGACTCGTGACTTCCGAAGGAACTCGGTGCTCACCATGAGATTTCGTAACTATTCTAAATGAAGACCTTCTAACTCTCAGGGTAGAGTTTAAATGGTTTGAATTGATTTTTCTGGTTAGTATTTATTCCAGCGAGTTAGTTTTCTAGTGGATGGGGTCGGTAACTCTGTACTCAACCCGCCTCTTTATTCGGCCTTGGGACGTGCAGTAGCCCCAGCGAGGCCTCAGGCGGAGTTTTCCAAATACTCTTGGACTTTAGTCCGTCCTAGTAGAAAAAAGCTGCAGAGTAAGAAGAGGAGCTGTTTTGAATGTTAACTTTTTTTTTTACAGAAAACGCGTTTATTTATGGTTTTTTCGGTAGTACTGGATAGAATATACATTTCATTAGGTCCTACCGTAAAGAAACAACTCATGGACCTGTGGGCGAATTCGTATTGCTAAATGTAGAGGGTTGGCAACAGTAAGGTTTTTCTCTCAGACAACCAGCTTCTGCAGCGATGCTGTCTTCTTACATGGAAGGGAGGGATTATTAAAGGTTGACCCTAAAAATTTCACACCTCACCTTACCCCACGGTTCTCGATCTCTGGCAGTAAGGCTATTGGAAGAGCGGAGCTAACACTTCAAAATCCATGAAAAGGCGGAGCGTGACTGGCCTCAAGCAGTTGTCGCTTGAGCTCCCAGGTCTCTAAAACCAACGGTAATCCGGTTTCATTTTCAGGATCTTCAAGGAAAACCCTTTTACGTTGTGGGTAGCAGGGAAGTGAGCTCCACCCGCATATATGTGACAACACTCGACTCACGTTCCTTTATCATCTCTCGCCCCTAATACTAACGGTTTGAGTATACGAAGCATTATTCCTGGTCGCCGCTACCACGCTCTAAACTACATGTTGGAGCCTTTAATGTTCGAAACTAATGCCAAATAAAACAACAGGTTTCTTTAGCTAGGACTTTAGAACCTCCTGCCGTCTATGTATGCTACGTCCTCGAAACGCGCGTACCGGACCCGATTAGCGTCATTCATTCGACCTCACCATGTGAAAACGAAGAACCGTCTCGATTTATACGTCGTGTATCTGGAAGTCTCACTGCTGTCTCCTGTATCCTCGCCGATATAGGTATTTTATTGAGTCCTGAGGCTGAACTAGCTCTCTTTGACTGGATCCCGGTAGATATTCGTTTTTGTGCCGTTCGTCTAAACGGGGCAGTAAGAACTCAGAAAAAACGAACATTTACCGTTGCCTCTTTGTCGTCTCTGCCCACGCTCCCACTGACTGCAGCTCAGGTGACGTAAAAGATAAATTTTACAGAAAGCTTTCCAACCTTCAAAACATTAGGCCCTCTAATGTAATAATACTGGCTGGTGGCGCATGTTTGTCTGCTGCTTACTAGTTGTAAGAAAGAATCAGCAACGAAATCCCTCAGAGTTATGTTTGAGGATAGCAAAGCTGAGTATACATTTCAGGGACAACTAGAAGAACAGTTAGGCAGAGATGCATGTGATGCCTACCTTGAGGCAGCTTGGAATGATATCTAAAAAGCTGTGAAACACGATAAGGAGCAAAAGCAGCTGAGGCGCAGGCCGATCAAAGGCTTACACATTTACCGGTAACAGTGGTGGTTAGCAAAAACGAGGGAGATGGAAAAGGCGGTGGCATTAGGTAACAGCAGATGACTACTCAGACTTATCAAAAACTGGTATCAGAAATCTGACTGTTAATGAGACTATCTCCGAAAAAGATTGGACTGTTATTCACTCTCAATCCAGGAGATTCGATCGATGGGAATAAAACTTCAGGGATCATTTCAACTGGTTTTCAGCCACACTTTGTTTACCCAAGATCTCCAATCAACCGGGATGGCGAATTAATGTAAATCCTTCAACTCTTATTGAAGTTGAAAAGACTTTAGGAAATCTAAAGCGAGGAAGAGCAGCGGCAGAGCGGACCCTGACCCTGGTTAACACCTGAGATTTTTAAGGATGGTAGTTCAGTTTTAGCAGTGAGATTGACTGCGATCTGAGAACTGAACATAATTCCATCTGACTGGTCTCGATCACTGATAGTCCCAGTCTATAAAAATGAAAAATCATCTTGTGACAATTACAGCACGATCAGTGCCTAAAATGTTGATCTTGATGATACTTCGACGTCTGATTAGAGCTCGTGATGAGCAGACTCGAGAAAACCAGGCTGGTTTCAGATCTGGACGTTGCTGTATAAACGACATATTCACACTACGACAAGTACTAGAACACAGACTCATTTCGGCGTCTGACAATAGTTATCTTCCTGGATCTCAAAGCGGTATTTATCTCTGTCGATCGTGAGGTTCCGTGTCAGTGTCTGTCATGAAAAGGTGTGCCTAAGAAGTACGTTAACCTTACACAAGCTCTCTATTCGAACACTACTGGTCTGAATTGATTACTTCTAGTGGTGTTCGTCAGGGTTGCCCACTTTTCCCATTTTTATCCAACTTTATCACAGACATGACTTTTCAGGAGTTGAACTTTTACCGGGCGATTCGCTTTTCGACTTAGAATATGCCGATAACAAAGTTCTGCTTGATAAAGACGCTGATAAAATGCGGAGTCTCCTGACTACCCTAAGCAACAATGCAAGCATGTTGGGAATGCGGTTTTCCCCTTCGAAATGCAAAATGTTGCTTCAGGATCGGCTTACGGTGGCACCTGAACTAGTGATAGGGAGTGAAGTAGTTGAGCGTGTTGCCCGCTTCACTTATCGTGGGAGTCCCACAAATGCTGATGGCCTGGTGTGTGATGAAATGTTAGCACGAATACAAAAGGTTCTACTGGCTTTTGTCAACTCGCGTCACTTATAGTGTTGGCGAGATATCCGGTTGCTGACCAAAGGACAAGTTTACTACGTAGCACTTCGCTCCGTCCTACTCTATGGGAGTGAAAACTACTTGGATATTATCAGGTTACTTGTATTCGATCATAGGTGTATTAGAAGCATTGTTCGTGTATCCTGGGACAACCGAGTAAGCATTGTTGTCGTTAGGAAACGACTACTAGGTGGGGATGGCAAATCATTTGAGGAGGTTGGGATATGTGTTACGTTTACCCAACCACCGACTGCCTCGACGAGCGATTTTTTGTGCTGTAAGAGTAAGCTAGAAGAAAGCTAGGGGCGGCCAAATCAACACATGGCACCAATCCATGAAGTCACTGACAAATGAGCTAAGTCTTGCTGGTATATGTAGTCTACCAGTTGTGGTTCCGTGAAACGTGCATACGCACGATGTTCTACGTCGTAGCTGACTGACTGACTATCAAACTCCCAGATTGCTTTCGAACTGTTTGTGTTCTTCATTTCAGTTTGTCGTATTTTGTTCAAGGTCTGTTGTACTACTCAACCGTTCAAACAAAATGTGATTTTTCAGAGGATTACCTTTCAATATTTGGCCTGAACTTCTGTATCTATATATACGCCGTTCAAGCACCAAATATTTATTTTCACCCTCGTTTTTGTGGGAACCTGGTAGTAAGCAATGCTTTCCTAAAAGAGATTTCCAGTTGTTTGACTTCATTTTGAGAAATACAAACTGTTCTTTTTCTGCGGTACCACGATGTCCAAGTATAAATGTTTTCTAGTTCACAGATTGTCAGGATAAATTCAGATTGACAATTGCGTCTCTATGCTAGTGTGGTATGGCAACTTGAACTTACGTACGTACGTACGTACGAAGTTCTACAATGTAGCTGACTGACCGAATAACATAGATGCGTTTCTTTTGTTTGATTTAACTTCATTATTAGCCAAATCAGATTATTGCAGTTCTATAGTTGTATTACAAGTCGCTGACCTGCAGACAGAAATTGTACTTGATTTCAAAATAGCTGATTTGAGTTTGGGCCTTTGATAAATAGTATTTTAGGAAATCAAAATGCTTCGAATAAATCTGGACTCAACATTTACGATCTGTTAGGTGGTTTATCAATTGAAGCAAAAAATAGTTTTATGTACATTGGGATGTACTCCATCAGTTTTTCACGGTTCAAATTGTCAGTTATCACTAGCAATCAATCCATCTGTTCCTGCTAAATATTAAACTTGAACATCAAGGTGAAATAGAACGTTCAGTCACTCCTGAAAGTTATTATCATCTCCTCTTTTAGATTTAATACTCACCGTTGTATGTCGTTTAGCGCAAAAACTATTTTATCTGACGAGTTTTGTAAAAGCAAAATCTATTCTGTAATTCCTGTATATACTGCATTTTTCTTTGACACTGTTTATTTTTCTTAGTAATGGCAGATAGCGCTTCCGAATTAGAACTGGAATCTGATGCGAGTTCCGTTGATGGAACCAAAGACTCATTGGTTACAAATGAACAGATTTTACGACGTATCGATTCTTTACAGCAAGAAAATCGAGTTTTAAAAACTGAGGTTGAAACTTTGAAACTAAAAATCAAAGGTTTGAACGACTTAAATCAGCAACTGCGGCGTAATAGTGTTAGTATAGTAAGTCCCGTAACTATCATGTTTAATTGTTTTATAGCAAGCAAAAGCAGAACAAGAAGAAGAGTATATCAGTAATACTTTGTTGAAAAAGATCACTGAATTAAAGAAAGAGAAAGAATCGCTAGCATTAAATTACGAACAGGAAGAAGAATGTCTTACTAATGAACTTAAAAAAAAAAAAAAAAAAAAAAAAAAAAAAAAAAAAGCTCTTGAGCGTACTTTGGCACGTGAACAAGAAAATCAGGTAAGTTTTGTCAGTGTAAATGGTTTTTGACATCTTTCTCTAGGGATTTAATATCCAAAATCATAGTGAGTTTCATTTAACTAATATATTACGATTCAGTTTCCTCTGGTATCAGTATTGGTTGAAATGTTATAGATCACGTATCAGTCGTTCAGGAAAACATTAATTATCCTCATTCCTTGCTTCGTCATTTTGTATGCTAACCTATTTATTACTGTCTTCATTCTGTATAGTAGCGTAGAAAGCATCCCACTAAAAACTCGAGTCTTGGCTTGGTTGCAACTCCTAGTATGCATCACTAAGTGTTAACAGAGGAGTATGTACGAGCAGCTAGAAATTGCGGAAAGTGTCTTATTTTATTCTAATTTGTGAATCTAATAATTACTTATGATGTCCTAAAAGTGTTATGCTAATCTCTCAAAAACGTGTAGAGAGATGTTCTAGGACACATCGAAGCACTTTTATCGTGCTGAATCGATGATTTGTAGCTTAGTGGTTAAGGCATAAACTTTTCGACGGGTAGATCACGTACTTCGCATTGGATAGATAGTTGCTGTCACTAGCCGTCACACTTTTGCCTCAGAAAACATAAACCTGTATTACGTATGTGAGTTATAGTACTTCTGTTTATGCATTTTCTTATAGTCGTTTACTCAGTATCAATTTCTAAAGACGACGGCTTTTGTGCTTAAAAGCGAGAGTATCCTAATTTCGAACAAATGAATTTACTATTTCGTTATTTGATTGTATCAAAACCATGTTCGTTAGTGGTATAGTTTAAAAACATTCAATCTCTTCCTCTAGGTGAGCAAGTTAATGAGAAGAATTGAGAAATTAGAAACGGATATGAATCACAAACAAGATTGTTTGGATCGTTTACGCAGAGAGAAAATTGAATTAGAGAATGCACTTGAACAGGAGCAAGAAGCTTTAGTGAACAGATTATGGAAAAAGATGGAAAAGCTTGAATCTGAAAAGAAGATTTTACGAGTTAGTATGCAAATTGTATAATTATATCTTATTCTGTTGAATGCTGAATGCTTTCATTAAATCCCTTGTGAACAACTCAGTAGTTTACACTTTTGTTTCGGAAAGAAATTTCTATCCTCTATCAAATGAGATGGTTGTTATTACAACTAATGATGAACTTTTTGTCTGATTCATATTTATATATTTAATTATTTGCCATGTTTTCATTTATTATTATACCCTTTGCTCCCAAGTATTACATAGTTTCATGAAGTCCTTTTTATTCTAGTCCTTGTTATTTTACATGTAACCTATCTCCTTCTCGTATTACTGTTGCTACATAACTATATTATTATTTCTCATTTTAGCCTCGTGAAAACGTGGGTGAAATAAGCATCGCCTGAATACCCTAATAACTCTGAAAAGTCATCGATTACATTATTATTTTTACTCAAACATTTTTTATGTTATCGATGTCTTCGGACAGTTTCTGCTAATTTAGATTCCTAGTTTTACTGATGCGAAGTGGCGCCTACCTGTTTTGTTATATGGTTTTCGACTCAGAAATTCCGTTCTGTGGGTATTTTATGTGTGAATTTTAAAGCTTAACAGTTAAGCTTCCTTCTTTCTATCGATTATTCAACGATAATAGTCTGTGATAATTAAATAAACTAGCATAACTTTCACAGATTCAGATAAGATATGAAGTTACTGAATTCGATTAATCCATGCTTAGTTCCAACATTTTCTTCTCTCCACTTGTTTTTTCAGATTATAAATATCATAAAGTACTTCACACCCGTGCTACTACTTTCAGTCTTAACAAGAAAATATGTTCAAGCTCATTGTGACACTTGCAGTTATCAACGTTGTTTACAATGCTATATATCAAACCGTGTATAGGTCAATGGATACCTCAAAGTGACTAAAATCTCCAATGTGAAGCGGCGATCAAGTGATTAATGCTATTAACCTTAAACCAATAGGTTACAAGTTTAAATCCTACTTCATTGACTTCATTATACGGAGTCAGATGGTGTCGTTTCCCATCAAATTAAAACTGACTAAAAACTTTGTATGTAAGCCTGTACTTGTTTGCCGAGGTACAAATGATTTTTCTTTAATGATAATACACGATATATATATATATATAATTGCTTCATGGAGTGAAGTCGACACATAGTATTTTAAAAATAGCCCGTCATGTTTGAATGCTTGCATATGATCGGTCGATGAAAAACCTGTCTTGTTATTTTAAATATTACTCAGTAGAATCATGTTTCTATTCTTCCAGGAGAAATTAGAATCTGTTGGTGCCCCGCTGCCAAGCCTTTCAAGTAGCCAAAACCTTGGCAGTATTTCAGATGGCATACATAACAGTTTAGCAGTCCCCCGTCCTATCAGTAGCGGACCCGGTAGTCTTCGTAGTTCTTTCAGACAGCACAATCATCCACCGCATACTACATCTTGTTCAATTGGTACTTCTCTTTCTGCTGCTCCATGTCCCGTTTCTCCTGGTAGAATATCTACTTCATCCGGAAGTGAAGAAAAAGCTCCCCAGTCAAGCCAGTGTTCCACGATCCCCAACGATGTATCTTCAAAATCTAATATCTGTGAATGTAATGGCGCACCATTTACACTACCACCTCAAAGCCCAATGGATATCGATGCATTAGGTAATTATTATTTGAAGATATTTTACGTCAAACCGAATTCAGCTCACTCATCATCTGACAAGTCGAAAACAAAATAAAACGTTTGCTATAGATTCCACTGCTAGCGATTATTCAAGAATAAAGTGAACTTCTAACTGTAGGTAGCGACAGTTTATTAGGAAAAGTACAGACTATCTGATTCGGATTCGGGTGATTATCGTAACTAATGGTTGGGAATATTGGGTAATGGGACTCAGAATAGTTCTCAGTGGTACATATCTATTTTTTCTCTAAATATTGAGTTTTAAAATTAGTTTATACTTATTCTACGAATTCCTTCTTACTGGATTATATTGTTTATGCTTAATTCCTTCCACTACAGGTATTACTATTACTGCTACTGCCCTGCTGTTTGTTTCACTAATTTAATCTCGGTCTCCTGATACTGTGTGGGGACTTAAACCGATGCACATATGCCCCAGGTCCTGTGTTATTTATAACTGACTGACTAACTAAATGCAATCTCAATCCATCAGTTCAACAGAACCATTAGACATCAAAGACTAATCGAATTCGGTCATAAATATCAATAACCTGTGAAACACAGAAACCGTGGAAACGGCTAAGTATATATTTATCTTGAAATTTCTTATCAAATTCGATGATTTAGCTTGATACTGATATATCTTAATCAATATCTTACTCATAAATTATTAAATCAACATTTTATTTAGCTGCAAATATTTCCATTCGTGTTAATTTATGTATAAATTTTTTGTACTTTGATTTTTGTGTTATTCAGTATATTCAGCACAGTTATTTCCATATAATATTCCTTAGAAACTTCAAATAAACTCTGCGGCGTTTTTTAATCAGTGTGGACTATTATTAGTTTTAGACTAATCGTTTCCTGGTTATATGACCTTATTCAAATGTAGTTAGTTAGTGGTGGAGTTTTAATTAAATGCCAAAGCATTCGGCTCTCAATCACTGAGCTCCAGTTTCGAGTTTCAACTGCACCTGTTATAGTTTAGGCTATTGGATAACCTCACCTCCCAAACATGAAAATATGCATAAAAACGAACTACACTAGGCCTGTCGCTCTGCCACTATTACTGTAATCATATCTTGCTTGTCTCAAGACATGACATCGACAAGTGTAGAATTCTCCATAACTGAATCAAAAGAACACTAGTTTTTTTTAAATTATTCTGCTTCTGGTATCAATATTCTATATAATATATCATTAGATTAAATGGTATCTACAAGCCTACTCTTTGCTTATCAAAACATTCTTGTGGCGGGTTTCTGCTGCATTATGTAGCTAACTAGTCATATAATCCTAGCCTGAATTACACGTCTTTAAACGAATAAAAATAAGATATCACCAAAAAATGTAATAATTATTATTTAATTCCCACCTATCAAGGTCAACCTTGGCACTGATACCCACAAAATAATACAAGTTTTATCATTACTACAATGACTTATAATTGCTGAATTTAAAGCTCTTGACTTAAACTTCATTACACTTCAATTTTGTTTCCTTTCAGTCCTCTTTTTTAAATATTTATTTTTTGTCCAATGTAGAGCGTGTCTTATATATTTTCCCATTGGAAAAATATTTAACAGAAATTTAAAACACGTAGTTTCTCTAACTGATTTATTGTTTAGTGGTGTGTATTTTTATGATCAATATTCATCGTAGGATGATAATGACCTTAGCGTCTTATTTCTCAGTTAATTTGGCAAATTTGATTAAGATAACATATAATCATGCAATATTGCATTGGTTCGATAAATTTGTTACTTGGATACATTGATACTTCTTATACTTGATTAGATCATCGGTTGTTCTTATCGTGTTTGTTTTAAAAATGTTTTGCTTATAGATCCTAACGCAAGTGGTGCAACTAGTCCATGTGGAAGTGTTGGCTTGCAATCACTCCCAACTACTCCAAGTCACTCACATTCTTTAAAGAGTCCTTCAACACCTTGCGCTGTGCATAAAGTGGCTGTTTCTCAAGATCTTCCTACTAATCAGCCATCAGATGTCGTTCTTAGCACTTCTACTCATATGATCTCCACATCGTACGTCAATCGATTACGTGATGAAGTTTGTCGTCTACGTAAATTACTTCAGCGTTATGAAGCGGAGTCTGCCTCTAAGATGCCTCAGTATGAATCGGAAGAAAAATCGGTCGCTGAGGAAAACCGGCGTTTGAGGAAATTGCTTCAGGTTGAGAAAGAAAGACGTGAGGCATTGTCTAGACAATTGAGTGAGAGTGAATCAAGCTTGGAAATGGAAGATGAAAGGTACCGTTCAATAGTTATATGTTTGTATTTTTATATTGCCCATTAAAATATTAGAAATGTGGAATTCAGTGAAGAAATATCTTGCCTACAAATCTTTTATCAAGCTATATATATATATTAAATTTCAAGAGTTAATTTCATCAGGAAATCTGATTAGTGTTTATTTAAGAAGATCTTAATCATTGGTTATATGAATATAGATGATTACAATATAAGGTTTTACAACTTCTGTAAATGTGTAACTTACATGCTCTGAACAGTACGTAAATTACTTAGTGACTTTTCGCTAGCCTACTGTAATCATTATGTTATACAGGCAAATTTTGTTGATGATATCAGTGGTTTTGTAGATTCAGGCTAAATCGACTAAAGATAATGTGTTTAATGAATGAGGTTTCACCATCTAAATCATTGATGTATATTAATTTTGATATTTTATTTGTTTACTGCGTAGCTCTTGACCAGTTATCAAAATATAATGATAATATTTGCCTTTATTTTTAATAGACTGTTTAATGAAGCTAGTCGTTCCACTCGCCTAAGGACCATTTCGGATTGCACATCTCCATTTCAACCCCCTGTTCCTGCTCCGTGGACATCTGGTGGCAATACATCTTCGTCACTGTATGGCCCCGGTCATGCATTTGCTGTTGCTGTTGCTGCTGGTGTGGGTGGGCATCCAGTTTCACGGGTTTGTCGAGAATGTGGCCAAACATTAATTAGTCCTTGTTCAACTGATTCTACTTCTACATCAAGTAGTCGGTTAGCATCAACTTCATTGCACAATAATAATCATGTGAGTAGCTTACGTAATTGTTCTGGTCGTTGTTGCTCTCCAATCAGTACTGTAAACACCTCAGAGGCACATTCAGTTCATACTTCAAACTCCCCTTCTACGCCAACAACATCATCTTTAAACAGTGATCATTTTCTAAAGCCAACTTATCCAGCTGCTGTAAGTCCGCAACAAAATTCATAAAATTATCATACAATCCCTTCGTTGTCTACTGACAATAATCGAATTTCTTCGTCAGCGAAGCGATTTTCAACTTATTCGAATAGTGATAAAGATATTCAAAAACCATTAGATTTAGAAGATGCTGATGAAGAAGATGATACTCGATGCATTACACCTCCAAGTTGTCATAATTAATAATTTAAATTGAATTTTTCGTTCGTGTGTACACAAACATTGATACACAGTGTATTTTACTAATTCCTGTTCGCTTTCGATGTAAACGTTTTCTCTGTGTTTTTCTCATTTAAACTGTCGTTCCATTTTCTCATGTTACATATTTATGTAACATATCTTCCAAATTTGTGTATAGCTTTACTGAGCACTATTTTTGTGTGTATGCTTTTCGCGTTCTTCATCAAATCTCAACTTTGGTCCGATTATTTTTTTTATAAAAGTATCGATATTGACGATAATTATGACTAAACACGTAGAGATGAGGAATTTCTTACAAAGACAATAGAAAATTTCATCATAGCTTATGAAATTCAATAGATGTAAAGAAGTAAGTCGTTCTATTGTGTTGTGCTGTTTATTTCAGTTCTAACAAATGTTCATTCATTAATATAATGATAGGTGTGGGCGTTTTCGTTGGTCAGTTGAACTGATATGTAATTTTTAGTTATAGACCTTTTAAGTTTAGACAAATTTTTGTCTACAAATTTACCAAGTGTCTACATCTATTTTCCTTAATTTTCTGACTGATAATGCTATCAATGTCTGTTTGTTTATCTAGATCATTATTATTACAATCAGGTGTCTACTTACAATTGTTTCGATTCTCTAACTCTAATTGTTTGGTGAAAACAACCAGAGGATTTATGTGTGTGCATTTTATGCACCACTCATTATTATCAATACAGAAACATTGTTTTCATTATATGGCATTCGTAGTGCTTTCTTGTATGCTATTGGCGTACAGTAAGCGGTGTCAGTAACAATAGTAATAGTATCAGTGAGAAAATATCTTGCCATCATTTTGTCGAATTGTTTCTTCAGTTTCCTTTGTAAGTCATTTACTCTTTTATTCTTTATTGAAATCAACCAATGGGCGTCATTACTGCCTATTTACCTATCTATCTATTTCTATCCTGTATACTAAACTGTCTGCCATATGGTATGCAGAACCTTTTAAAGTCATATTTTATAGATTTCTGTTTTTGTTTTCTGTGATGTAATATCTTTGTGGTCTTTTGCTTCTCTTAAATATTGAAGCATTCAACTTTCTGAATGATATCTGCTTACATAAATAATGACCTGTTGTTTATTTAACATTTTTAAACAAAAAACGGAGTAAAATTCATATCCAAATGAATAATTAGTATCATCCATAATAATAATAATTTATTGTGATGACTTTGTTTTAAAACCTCTACATTTGTGCGTGTTTGTGTATGTCTGTGGATGTGTATGTGATTGTGCGTTTACCATTTCATTATGTGTATCGTAATGTCATTTTGTTCAGCACTTGTTTAGAATAATTAATTTGCCCTATAAATAAATGGGCAGACAAGCGCGCTTTTCAACAGTCTGAACTCTTTTCTTCATTTGAATTTCTTTTTTAAAATCTTATTTGGAGTTTTCTTCTTCATTTAGTATATTCAATGTACAAGTTAAGCAGGTTTATTTACAGTCGGCTTCTTAGTAGGATATACACTGAACATTTCAATATGCATATTCTTCCTATCTAATTAGTGTAGAAGTGATTACTTGAATTTTTCATAGTGTTAAAGGTGGAGACGTACTTTTAGTTTCAACCCCGAATTCGCATCTGTCGAATAAGTTGATGACTATCCGGACTCAGTGGATAAAGTGTTTCATGTGAAGCTAAAGGTACTAGGTTTGGGTCTCAGTATGAACCCTAATGTTAGCATAGAGGTTCACCCAGCTGAAGAATTCTAAATCTTTAAAAGCACACATCTAGTACATCCTACTTTTTGAATGTTATTGGGCTAGAAGTTTACTGTCCTACATCTTTATATGCAGTGAGTATGTGTTGTATAGATCACCATATAATGTATCAATTTCATACACTAGTCCAGTCACTGACACTTACTATTCGTTATAATACTAGTGTTTTTCACATTATGTTAAATCTAATCCAAATCGATATATCGACCAGGTTTTCCTGAATAATGCAACATTGGTAAATTTGTGAGTTTTTCACTCATTAGTTTTGAATAGATTGGCATTATTATTTGTCTAAATACTAAATTAACAATTGTTATTCCACAAATGAAAACAAACTCTCGGGTGCGACCTGTTGTGAACCATAGTTTGGTAAGCGATCTTAGTTCCTACAGAATTCATTATCTCGTAAGTGAATAACTCTTCAATACAAATCAGCATGTAACTAGTTGCTCGTATCATATGTGGTGTTTTTGCAATGTCATTGTGTTCTGTTTACCAGAAATTCTATTTGATGGAACCTGTTATTCGTGTACTAACAATATATCTTTGTAACAAGATGATTCAATTTTATTCAGTAGAACTTATGAAATTTATTTCCGAAATGTAATTGGATATGCACTTCTTCATAAGATTTATTATAGAAAGTACCGAGTTTAACAATGACAAACGATAAAATTTATCATTTCTTGTTGGGACATTTATTTCTTTTGGTTTGTAATTTTCATCATATTTCTGGTAAATTTAACTAATACGGCTTTCAGTAATTCTAATAACAATACCGTGACTATTTTTGTAAGTAAAAAAATCATGTAGCTATAGGAATCGTCTAAACTGTAGTTAACCGATCACGTTACAAACGCATGATCTACTAATTGAAAATCGTATACTTTAACCAAAAAGCAAATGTTCATCTATTTTTTGAGGCTTATTTAAATTATTTGTAAATCAGAATGGTTAGCATACCAACTTTCAACCAATAGTGAATGTTCATTATGTCAAATAATCTTGATTCTCATATTATTATCGTATTTATTTGCTACTTCCGTAGGTTTCTGGATAAATCAACATCTACCTTAGTAGTTACACAATTTTCAGTCAAATAAATTTGATCTGTGATATAAGTTATTAACACGAATTTATTTCACACTTAAATATTATACTTCCAATTCATTTGTACTATGGATTTTATGCTTCTTTGTTCTTTTTTATTGACTCAGTGATTTGCGATCACATGATGAAATTTTTCTGTGGAGTTTTCTATCCAGTATTTACCCTAGGCCATAACAATATCATATTACTGTTTGTTTAAAGTGATATCTTAGAAAATGAACGGAAGTTATAGATGCATTAAAATTATATATATCATCTGAAACATAAATCATTATTGATATATATATATATATATATATATATATATATATATATATAGAACTAGGAATTAAGTTGGTTGATATACCATATTGCTTACCTATGTAATCAATCCTATTATTCTTCGTAATGTTTAGGTTATTTTCCCACCTTGTTGATATTTGTTTAAAGAAAAGAAAGTGACCACTTTTCTTCGACTTAATGTTTATTAAAATTTGTTTAGTTAAATAAGTCATCGGTTAGTTTTCCTTTTTGCATTAGACAGATGTTTGCAACGCAGCATCTAGCACAATAGTTTTTCAGTTTTAAGGTTGTCACATGTTATCACAAGGACGAATAGCATAGAGTGAAAATGCATAGGAGAACAGGGTGTTCAATTTTCCTTCATCAATGTTCACAGTCTAGTCAACTGAATTACTGCTTTTATTCAGAGTATTCACTGTGATTGTATTTAGCCTATTTTTTTTCAAGTATAAACAATTAGCACAATTCTGTTGGAAATAAATAACTAAATAAGTGTAAATTTATGGATTTGTTTTATATGATTGGACATTAATTTAAATTATTTAAAACAGTATTACCTGTACGAAAACTGAAGTACATCACATTTTTAGAGAAAGTCTTGAAGATATTCAAAAAATTTCGGGTTTATCTTCTCACGCTGATTAAGCGTTTCGATAAAATCTGGAAGATTTTAAGAAGAATACAAATCGATGACAAATGACAACTTCTTCTGTTGATGAGAATTTCAAAAATCATCCACTCTTTTCTTATGTTGCAATCTTCATATTACTAACATTGTTATTACTATGTTTTATACTTTTACAGAACTATATCTGTTAACTTCAGATGCGTTTTTTAACTCCTGAGATAGCTTGGCATGAGACACTACCGATCTATTCGTGTGATTTACAAAATCGTCCCAACCTAACCAATGATAATTACAGTAATAAATGTAGCAATCCAAAGTCTAATCGTAGTCCTTTAAGTGAACTAAATCTGAAAAGTGTTAAAGATCTTGATCCTGATTTAAATTGGACAAGATTGGCAACAGCCGGTGGCGATAATGTTGTTCGTTTATGGCGTGTTCAGTTGAATTGGTTACCTGGAGTTTTGAAAACAACTGTAACAACAAAGCATGCTGAATCTCAACCCACCACTAATGCAACGGGAACTAAGAAAAATCTTGGTGTTACAACAACGGCTGGTGCAACGCAGAAAACTGATTTTAAACAATTGGAACATTTAACTTATTTAGCTTCATTAAAACGTCATGAGAAACCTGTCAATGTTGTTCGTTGGTCACCTTCAGGTAAGGCTTTTGTTTATTATATTCATGGATCCACCTTCGGTTTACTAAGGGTTATTTATGTTATCAACGTTTTGTTTTTAGGAATGCATTTATGGTTGTTATATTTGAATATATCAGTTTGGTCAAATGAAACAATAAAAATATTTAATTAAATATTAATTTACTACTGACCTTGTAACACTTCCTCCTAAATTTTTATTTCGTGTTAACCACCACCAATTTTAATGAATAAATTGTTCGAGTGCTAATTACCGAATTGATTCGGTTATTTATTTGTTGATCTATTTACTCAGAAGAATTGGCTTACACTAAATCGTTAAACGTGAGAAATTCAAATCTCCACTCACTGGAATATATCCCAAATACACCAAAATGTTATTAATACAGTTCATCATGTTGTAATTATTTGTAAATGGGTTACACTTAATTCTTTTGTGTACTACTTTCGTTTTTTTGATAGTTTAGAAACATGCCCTGAAAAAATGCCCCCGTATTCTTTTAAATATCTTATAACATTAAACACAAGTGTATAATTACGGGTTAATGAAAATGTTATCATAATGTATTGTATTATCCACTTAGAATTGTGGTTAAGCATTTGCTGTGCCAGGATTGGAGAATTGGCCATGAGTCACTTTAATCATTTGAAGTGACTATTGTTTAGTATAGTCCAGATATTATTGAAAACCTACTTCTTGTGCTGTTAAAAACTATACATGGACGCACTTTAATCTGTTAGTCTAACTTTATCAATTTTTAAGGATCTTGATGTGCTCAAGTCATCGCACTGATTCTGTCTTTCACACGAACTGAAGGCACCCTATCATACAGCAGGTTTTAGATAGTATCTAAATTCGATCATAAATTTCCAGAACTTTAGAACCTACAGATATATCTCAAAATGGAAGAAATCCTATCAGTTTACATAGCGTACAATTCACATATTTCATTAGTAGTAGTAATATTAGACACCGTTGGTTAACTCAATGAGTAATTTGTGTGATTGAAACCGATTGACATTTTTATTTGTATTTGGATTCCTATAGTTACCTTTGTATTACTCTTAACGATTAGCGTAAATGTTATTACACTCATTCGATTCATAGTTCAACCTAGTATTAATAATTTACCTATTCATTTAGCAAATAGACAGATAGAATTCGGTGTTCACCAACTTATGTCAGACATCCATAGTGTTTTATTTAAAATTGAAATTTACAATAATAACTTTACACAATCATTTGTTTTAAGAATCTCACCTTTTTCTGCTGGATATATTCTGCTACAAGTTGAAGTGTAAATAAATAGTTCAATACTACACATGTAGTAAAATTGTTTGACTAGTTTATCAAATTATTGAAAGAGTGAAAATCGAATTATATCTGTAGTTAGAATGATACAATTAAATAAGCAAAATAATGATGATAATTTAAACCTAGGCACCTAATCATTGTAGACGATGATTGTTAATTTATTCCCGTTTGATTTGCGATCTACAGCTGAATATTTATACATAACAATAAAATCTGTAAAGTGCATAAACATGCAGAAAAATGATTGAAAGTGATTTTATAGTTGCAAATTTATTCTGTACTCACAATTATGAGTCACTCACCATCAATATATCCCTTCTGTGGTGTTGATTAGTGATATTAGCGGTTCATGGGTAAAGCAAACAAAGGGAAATTAATTTGATTTATTGAGAAACCCATACCGTTTCAGTCATGTTGATTATATTAGATTTAAACATAAATAGTAAGTTGCTGCTTTTGAATAACTCACCATATGATTTTTCCCATACAAATCCTGTTACTCCATACTAGGCTAAAGCATATTTCTTACATTTTGTATAGTAATTAAAATTAAATCTTATAGTATTCTGTAAGTTATTTACTATGATCATGTAACTTGTTTCTCAACAAATATGAAAGTAATGTGTAACGTTTTACAAACAACTGTTGTTAACTATTTCAGGGGACTATCTTGCATCAGCTGGAGATGATTTATTCATCATCATATGGTCGAATCAAACGTCTACCAATAATGGAACAATCATGTCAATGGATAATTCATCTAATTTAAAAGATGAAGAAGATGATGATAATGCTATAAATTCAGAAATCTGGATTCCTTGTCGAAGTTTAAGGTTAGATATATGCGCATATTATACATGATCACTATCAGCATTCAACCCATTTTTCCATTTCATTTACCATATAAACACTTCTTATTATTACACTGTTTTTGTATGATTTGAATCCAGTAAATTGCTTAAAAAAAACAGATATTATTTATTTGTTGGATAATTAGCTGGTTTATATCACTCACTAATTTGATTAAAAGTTCAATTATTTGTAAAAAAAGGTCCTGTTATTCTATGTATTTATTTGTAGTAGTTGTCTCTGTAGGCTATGCTTAAAATTAGTTAATGAATGCACAAATGTGTAAAAATTTCATATTGCTTAATTAATCGACTTTAGATCATTTCATACGTGCTGGACTTGATTCATCCTAATAGTTTAATTAAATTAAATGATTTATTTGTTCTAGATTTGTAAATGAAGTATATGTGTAATATTAAAACAACCCATAATTTGTACATATAAATTGACTCATGGATGATATCATTAGTTCTCAAATGCAGTCTCATTTTAATACAAAAACAATCCATTTTTCTATATTGATCATTTAAATCGCAGAGTCCATATTATTCTATGTTTTTCTTGTTATATTTTTCTCATTTTTTGATTCGAGTTCTTTGCTACTGTTGATATCGTCAATTTTGATCGGTTTTTCTTTCCTGATATCGATTTTCTCTTGTTTAGTTGATGCGAATTCTGATAATATTTTCGGCCTGACACACACAGTAAAGACATAAACTATTTTAGAACCTGGTTTAAATGTATGTCAATCCAGTATTTTCCGTGTTATGACAATGATAGTTAACTAAGAAGACGAAAATCAATAAAATGGATCAAATAAGTATTTTTGTTTGTGGACTATACTTTTAGAACAACACATGTAAGCGAACAATATTGTTTTCAGTGACGATCTAACTGAAAATAATATTGTTCGTCTACATGTGTTGTTCTAATTATCACAATGACTATGGTTTTGTCATGTTTATCTGAGTCGATTTGTTATGTAAAAGTGGTCGACACGTTCAGCTACTAAATCACTCCTTATTCCTAAATTAGATGGTGCTGTTTAACATTCTCGAAACATGTATCCTGCTTTTTACAAGTGTAACACATATTCAGAGATCCTCGAATTGTAAACATTTTTTGGAAATCAAGTGCTGCCTAAAGTCATTGATGTATATTTTGGAATTCTGTCCTCTTAACCACTGTTCCATTATCTATTTCATTAATTCAAATTATGTCCGATTTAATTGATAAACTTGATAAATATTTTGCTGTATGGGAAGAGTCATTTAGACTCATTTCGAATGAAATTGATCTTCGTCACAAATTTATGTTAGCTAGCAAACAGTATCATGTCATGTTTGTTGTTTTAGTGTGTTACTCCCCAGTTTTGCGTGTTACCTGTCCACAAATATCCCCCAACAGTTTAGAAGCACGGGAGAATACTGTAATCATTTTTTCTAATCAGTAATGAAGGGAGACATCCTTCCAGGATTTTCTGGAACACCACTGGTTGTAGGAAAACTTAGAGATACACTCGAATTTATGTACGTAGTCTAATCTTCAAGTAGGGCCTTTTTCCATTTCGCGTCTTCGCTTTATTGTTCAAGTTCAGTTGTAAAAGTAATCTGGGGTAGTAGAAAGCGACTTGGAAGTTATTAACAAGCGTTCAAGTAGAAAACTTATCAATGTGTAACCACCATTCACTAGGAACGGAAACCAAGACTTTTAGGTTTTTCATAGCGGTTTCTTTCTTTAAACCAACAGTTTTCCTTGATTTTTTAGGCCTCCGTAGTTGATATGAATCCGTGATAAAAATCAACTTTATTTGTCATAAAACTGGAAGACAACAAATGATATCTTTTAACTACTATTTTCTTATTTTTTTCTGCATAAAATTAAATAAACTCATGTGTGTGTATGTGTTTAAAAATGACATTTCGTAATGCTCCTGAAGACACATTTCATTTCTTTTCATCCCATCCATATGTAGTTAAAATTTCCCCACTTTCTATAACTAGAACATTTTTATTGTATCAGGTGTTTACTAAACAATATTATGTTTCACTGAAACTGTTAAACATCATACTCAAAGTATTCCAGCACCTTACGTTTTTGGGTGATTTGAAAAATTATGTTTTGAAAATTTCCTCAATAATCGAAAAATGTTTAATTTATCATTTTCTGTAATATTTAAAATGTATAATATATATTTATTTGCAGACGTCATCTGGAAGATATTTATGATGTTTGTTGGTCTCCAGATGAACGTGCACTTATATCCGGGTCTGTTGATCATTCAATCATAATCTGGCACCTTGACTTAATTCCATCACCATCATCTACTCTACCAGCTGAAGATTTTAGCAGTGTTGGAGAAATGGCCTCAGAGAACAACAATGTGAGTCGACCTGAAAATGCACCTATGCCAAGTATGAATACCAATCAGGCTACAATCAAGACCTTAATTCTGCGTGATCATAAACATTATGTGCAAGGTGTTGCTTGGGATCCATTAGGATTCTACGTTGCCAGTTTAAGCAGTGATCGAGCTTGTCGGATATATCGTGCGGGAACTAAAAATTGTTTAGCACACGTGTCCAAAGCTGGAAAACAACGTCTGTTTCAGGTATGTTTATGAAATCCACTTTAATTGAATTTAATAAATTTTATAATGCAAACCTACTAATCTAACATGCTGCAATTAAGGTCAGAAAGAAAAAAAGTACACTTAATTACTCATAAATATTGTTTACTGTAACAGTCATGGAACCGTAAATATATATATATATATATATATATATATATATATATATATATATATATATATGTACATAAAATTTTTTCGAGGAACTTCTAATGTTCATTTATTAAACTATTGGATTACCATACTTTTTTATTGCGTTTATTTGACTGACTGACTAACTGTTGTTGTATCTTTTGATACTCACATAAATCACTTACCTACGCCTATTAGCCCAATCATTCTCCAACCCAGTCTATCCTGGGCCTTCCTTTCCAGTTCTAATCAGTAGCTGTTCATTCTTTTGATGTCTGCTTCCAATTCTCGGTCTAACGTGCTCATTGGTATCCACAGACATCCACTATTTGTGATGATGTTTCTTGTGGCCCAGAACCTCCTGATATGTTGAAGTCATTGCCTCCTTGATCACTTTTTAGTTTTTCTTCATGATAGTTTCCTTTCCATTGAGTAGGTCGTGCAAGGCCTGAAACCTATTGCTGAGGGCTATTTTAAATTCGTTGGGCTTTCCAGTATCCCGATGAAAGGCCGTATTAAAATTTTGTAAAGTTTTCCGCCCCGTTGTCCTGTGCTTTTTGAGTTTCAGTTTCATCCTAGCGACCAGCAAGTGATGATCAGAGGCCATATCAGTTCTCCTCTCATTTCTTACGTCTTGTATCGTCCTTCTAAACATCTCGTTGATGCAGACACGGTCCATTCGGTTGTGTATGGTGAGATGTATGTGGCTTTGTGTATATGTTTATGTGGAAATATGGTGCCTCCAATGACCAGCTTGTTGAAGACACATAGTTTGCGAATCTCTCACCGTTTTCGTTCTCTTCTCGAAGTCCATGTCTACCCATGATGTCTTCATATCCGGTGTTGTCCATCTCAACCTTGACATTTAGGTCTCCCATTAGAATGGTGAAGTCCTTTGATGGGCATTTGTCGTAGGTTGACTACAGCCTGCCATAGAATCGATCTTTGACGTCTGCGTTGTTATCGTTGATAGGTGGATAGCACTGGATGACGTTCATTGTATTCCCCTCTTCTTTCGTCTTGTTGGATGCTTTGTCGACCGTTGGTCCATGAGGTTCTCATGCTGTCAGTGCTTTTTGTGCTTGGTTGGACAGCATTAGTGCAACTGCCTGTATATGTGAGGCATTTTCTTTTTGTTCATGGTCGGAGTACCGCAACATCTCTTTCGAAGCTGGTTTTTTTTGTCCAACGTGCGTTGAATGTGTTTCAGGGACTGCAAGTACCACTTGGTTGTATCTTTTGATTTCTGCAGCAATCCGAATGACTCTGCCGGTCTCCCAGGTTGTACGAACATTCCATGTGCCTATATTAATGGTTGCTCTGGTGGTGAGAAGGGGCGTCGGCCTCGTGACTTCCGAAGAAACTCGACGTTCACCATCAGATGTCTTAACTGTTCTACATGAAGACCTTCTAACTCTCAGGGTAGAGTTTAAATGGTTTGAATAG